TGTATGGCGTGAGGCATGTCTGAATTGAGGCGTCTGGGGCGTGCTCAGTGGTTCAGGTGAGCTCAGAAGAGAGGGAAAGGAACACTTCTGTCGTTAGTCATTGGGCCAGAAAAGGCTGCAAGATTTCCTTGAGCTTAATCCATGTCAGCAGTGGGGGAAGGAGCATTATTGGTGGTGAGAGCTCATGAATTCACCTGCAAAGCCATAGCTTGTCCCAAGGAGGGGTGGTCTTTGCAGACAATGCAACCAGGTGGCTGTTTGCAAAGCCCTCAAGTCAGGTGGTTCTTTCCAAGCCTGTGAGTACCTCAGGGAGCTTCAGTGCTGAGGCAAGCATGGATTGCTCTGCACCTCCTTTTCTCTGCCTCTAGATACCAAAGTCTACGCGGCGCTGGGCAATCATGACTTCCATCCCAAGAACCAGTTTCCAGGGAAGGACCACAGAATCTACAGCCAAACAGCTGAACTGTGGCGTCCCTGGCTAAACAATGCTTCCATTACTCTCTTCAGAGCAGGTTGGGTACCACTAACTGATGCTGACAGGACTTTGGGGGGTAGGGGTGGTTAGGAGAAAGCCATGAATGGTTTTCCCTGCTTCTATGCTCAGAGCAATAGTACTTATAGAGTATGTGTGGAGAAAGGGCCCTGTTTAATGCTGATTTCTGGCACTGAGCTCTCTTGCTTGAGAGAAAATAAATGTGTGCTTTAGCAGTGACTCATTTTCGCAAGTTACTGGCAAGTGTCCCTCCAGAGGATGCAGTGGGATGAAGAAGGATCTCCTAAGGAAGCTGCTGGTGTTGGCAGCACTGTGGCTTCCTGAGCTGCCCAGCTCCTGGTGCTCCTTCACCTCGAGAGCCATCGACATGACAAGAGGCACACGAGGGGAGGAGCTGCTCCAAATCCCCATCCTGGAGTGGTCACAGCACTGCTGGCCCTGTGTGGGGATGGTGACTCTGGCAAGGGGATCTGAGAGGGATGGAAACAAAGGGCTCTGAGGCCGTAGCAAGCAACATGAGCAGAGCTGCAGCTCTTGCCCTCTTGATTGCATTTTTCAGGAGGTTTCTACAGCGAGAAGCTGCCTGGCTCAAGGACAAGGGGGCGAATGGTTGTCCTCAACACCAATCTGTACTATGACCAGAACAATGAGACTGCTGGTGAGGAGGATCCTGCGGGGCAGTTCCGGTGGCTGGACGAAACGCTGACCAATGCCTCTAGAGCAGATGAAATGGTATTGAAAGAAATCCATAAACTCCGTAGAGGGCTTCTCCCAGCCTGGCAGCTCATCCTGCTCCGGCTCCCCCCTCTGCGCGGTCACAGCAGGGCAGCGGGATGCGTGGGCATTGCCTTCAGTGCAGCTCTTGCCTTTGTAGGTGTACATCGTGGGCCACGTCCCTCCTGGCTTCTTCGAGAAGAAGCGAGGCAAAGCCTGGTTCCGGAGTGGCTTTAATGAGCGATACCTGCAAATGGTGCAGAAGCACCACAGGGTCATCGCTGCTCAGTTCTTTGGGCACCACCACACGGACACCTTCCGGATGTTCTACAGTGATACAGGTACCGGTTCTGGTTGGAGTTGTCCGTGGCTGTTAGGCTGAATGCAGCTGAGAAGCCAGAAAAGGCTTGTGAAATGCCTTGCTCAACGAGAGACAGCAGTGGTTTTGATCTCCACCTCCTCCTCCAAAGAGGAAGGAGCAGACTTTGTTGTTTCCCCTCAGTGCCTTGCAGCTTCTTGCCCCCCTATTGATGGGGTTTGGACATCAGCCAGGAGTTAAGGGTTCAGTTACGAGTCTGTGTTGGGGTTACAGGTGCTGCTCTGGTCTCCTTTGCTGAGCGCAGTTCTCTTCCGCCTCAGCCCTCGCTGCATGAGTCTTTGGCAGCAGTGGAAAGCTCTCATCTGCAGCAGTCCCATGTTCAGTCCCTGGTGCCATTCCAGGTGCTGATCTTTGTGTATGTGGTGGTGTGACTCAGGCTGGTGGCAGAGCTGCTGTTTGCAGCAGGGCGCTCACTGCGGTGCGGACAGGGTGTGTGTGGCACTACCCAAGGTCTCCCATTCATGGGTTGTTTTGCCCTTCTGTTCAGGTTCTCCAATCAATGTCATGTTCCTGGCACCTGGAGTGACCCCCTGGAAAACAACGTTGCCTGGAGTGAAGAATGGAGCCAACAACCCTGGGATTCGGGTGATCGACTACGACCCAGACACCCTTCAGGTGTTGGTAGGGGATCCCTATGTGCTGCACACTGCAGTCCTAGGGCGGTACTTCCATTCCTCCACGTGGTTTTAAGAGGCAGGACTACAGGAGCCAAGCAGCTATGTGGGAGAGGACCTCAACTAAGATGCTTGTCTCTTGTGTAGCACAAGGATTTAGCAAGAGCACCAGTGAGTAAAGGCAGGGTGACCCCAGCCAACCTGGGACCAGCTCCCCAGGGCAGCACAGGACAGGTTTGGTCGTGTTCTTCATGCCTTTTAGCTAGTTCCCTTTGGCACTTGCTTTGCTGGCCAGGTAACATGGATTGCAGAACTGCTCTTTGAAGACACACACTTGTCAAAACCCCCTCCAAAAACTTTTAACCATCTAGAAAATGATTTAGGCCTCCCTCCTTGCGGAATGGATTCATTTGTAATGGATCTGAATTGAGGCGGATTGTAGGGGCAGCTTCTGCTCCCTGTGTCTCTTATTTGTAGAGGATGGGGAGTCCGTGCCTTTCTTTGCAATGGGTAAAGCAGCTCTGTAGATGCTGTTTATGGCATAAGACATGAATGCTAAAATAAGCTGTGGAAGGCTAGGGAGGTAGTGGGGCAGAGGCTGAGAACAGAAGCTGTGAATCTTCAGTTGATTCACAGCTGACAAAATGACCTCCCTGAGTCAGTAACACTCCTCCAGCCCTGGCTGGCAGTAAATAACAGGCCAGGCTCAGTGTCCTGATGTGTGCAGGAAAAAGTGGAGCAGAGAAGAGCCATCCCTGTACAAACAGGATGCCTTTGTGGTGAGCTCTGAGGTGCCTGTCCCCAGCTAGGCAGGGGTTTGGTGCTGCCGCCCAGGCCATCCTATCCCATGTTTCACTCCAGGACCGATCCTCTCCTGATTTGTCCTCGTTCTGTTTTTCCCCCTCTGCAGGACATGGTGACTTACTACCTGAACCTAACTCATGCCAACTTGATGGAGGAAAAGTCCCCAGTGTGGGAGGAAGAGTACCGGCTGACAGAGGCCTTCCAGGTCCCAGATGGCTCTGCACACTCCATGCAGACAGTGCTGGAGAGGATCCAGCATGATCCATACTCCCTGCAGCAGTATTATGAGTTCAACTCCGTCAGCTATGATCTGGCCCCGTGTGAGGGGTCCTGCCACATCGATCACGTCTGCGCCATCAGGGAGCTTGATTTTACACGTTACGAGGAGTGTGTTGGAACCAGTAGCTCTGCCTCTGCCCTCGTTGGCGTTTGGCCCTTCTTTTCCTGCTTGCTCTTAGGGCTCATCAGTCTCCAGCAAGCGGTGCAGTGACTGAGAGGAAGGGGAAATGGAGAGAGAGCTCAAGTTGACGAGGTGCACGGATCGGTAATTGTGAATGTTTTGGCACTGAGAATCCACTTGGAAACCAAGATGGAATTGGTGGCTTTTACTAAAAGCTCTGTGACACTGATTTTAAATTGTCCAGAAAAGCTTCAGGTACGAGGATGGGGCAGGGACCGTCACAAAACCTTGTGCCAGGCTGACCTGCACAAGGAAATCGTCTTCCTTTGCTGGCACTTCCGAGGTGAGCTCATAAATCAGAAGAGGACCAGCATCAGTCATGGACTTCACCCTGGTGGGCTCCTCACATCAGCACCCGCTTCTCCTCAGGGAAGACCACGACTGGTACCCGGAAAAGTCGTGTTTTGGTGGCCTCGTACAGCAGCTGCCTCACCCGTGGCTGCGGTGGGACTGGCTCTTCCTGTGCCAGAGGATGAGCTTCGGCAAGCTTGGGCTGGGAATTCCACGTGTCAGTGCCCAAGGTGAGGCTCCGGAGGAAGAAGCTTGATTGTTATCAATACTGTAGCCAATTTCGGTTTAAAGGATAAGTTTTATTAACCTGAGTAAGCGACAGCAGATAAAACAGCCCTGGCTGCGATGGGGACTCCTCCGCTCCGCCCAGGACACGCACACGCGGTCCCTGGGAGGCGGTCCTTTATCTTCTCCGGTTCAAGGCCCCAGCCAATCCTGTCGCCGCGCCTCACTCGGATGTTGACACGGCTCTTCCCCATTGGTTCCCTTTGTTGCAGGGGTCTCATTACCGAGAAGCTTCGGGAAGTTTCGAGAAGCTCCCAGAGGCTTCGAGAAGCACCAGCTGCCAGCCTCCTCCCCGTCACAGCCTCCTCCCCTCAAGCGTTGCAACAAGACACTACTTCGAGCCACCCAGCCCCCTTTTCTCTCTCACAATCCTGTGCAACAATACAACTGACCTCCCCCCATTACCTACAGAGTACAACAGGTACAGAGTCAAAAAGGAGAATTGTTTCACATAACAGCCACAGAGAGCCTCCCTCCCCCCAGACGTCTTGATGAACAAACCCCACACATTATTATTATCTTTTAAATTAAAATTGCAGAGCATAAACAGCTTTTCCCTTCGTGTTCTCCCAATTTGTCCGCACTTGGGTTCTTCCTTAAGCTGGGCACTGCCTGCTGACCTTGCCCCCTTCCCTGCTCACACCCTGAACCACACACACGTGGTTTACCGGGGCTGTGCCAGCTTCTCCATGAACCTCGAGGGCCCCGGCACAGCGCTGGCGCAGGGGAAGGGCGCAGGGAAGGGACGCCCGTGTTACCCGTGACACGCAGCGCGCCCTCCAGCGCAGTGCGGGCAGGGCAGGGCAGGGATGCGAACGGGACGGGTCCATCAGCGCCGCGGGCACCGGAGCGGGCGCTGCCGCCGGGGTTTGCCCCGGTACCGCCCGGAGCGCGAGCAGGGCGGGTCCCGGGGGGGGGGGGGGGCGGTGCTGGGCTGGGCCGGGCGGAGCCGCGCCGGGGGCGCTGCGGGTGCCGGTGCCGCCGATGGCGCGGGCGTTCGGGCCGCTGCAGCTCGTGCTGGCGGCCGCGGGGACGGCGGCGGCGGCGCTGGACGTGTGCGCGGACGGGTGGGTGGCGGCGGGGTACGCGCGGGGCGGGCGGCCCGGCCTGGCCGCGCTGGTGCTGGCGCTGCGCGCCGCGGGCTCGGTCCTCACCCAGGGCTGCAGCTGGCTCTGGCTGCGCTCAGACCCGCCCGCACTGCGCCCCGCCGCGCCCCCGCCGCTGCTCGCTGCCCTCCACCTCCTCCAGCTCGGCTTCCTCTGCAGGTACCGCGTCCCCCGGGACCCCTCCGCTCCCCGCCCCTTCCGGGGGGGGGGTCACCGGACACCGGGTGGAGGTCCCCGGTGCGGCCCGGCCCCGCTTGGCGCCGGCTGCGTCCCAAAGCCCCGGCTCTGCTCCAGCTCCCGGGGCCGGAGCCTTGGAGCCGGGAACGCCCCGGAGCCCCGTCCCGTCCCGTCCCGGGCTCTCCCCGCTGTGCCGGCGCCTTGGAGCCGGGAACGCCCCGGAGCCCCGTCCCGTCCCGTCCCGGGCTCTCCCCGCTGTGCCGGCGCCTTGGAGCCCCGAACGCCCCGGAGCCCCATCCCGAACCGTTCCGGGCTCTCCCCGCTGTGCCGGCTTCCTGCCGAGCCCGATGCTCCCTTCAGCTCTGTGGCCGCTGCCTGGGAAGGGGCGGGGAGGGGTTTGGGCAGGAACTGGGGTGTTTGGAGCCGTCCTCCGGGTCCTGCAGCGCTCGCAGCCCGCAGCCCCTCAGCGCTGCCCTTCTCCGGCTCAGGTGCCTCCATGCGCTGAAGGTGGGCTGGAAGGTGTGCAGGGCGAAGGAGGAGGCCGGCGAGGAGCAGAGCCACATGGCTTTCCTGTGCCACGACATCAGCATGCTGCGCCTCTTCGAGACCTTCCTGGAGAACACCCCGCAGCTCACCCTGCTCCTCTGCGTTATCCTGCAGACCAACAAGGCAGAGCCCTTCCAGGGTGAGGGGCTGGGCAGGGGCTGGGGGGCTGCAGGCTGGGGGTCAGAGCGGTTGAATGGGGCAGACGGGATGGGCTGGGGTGGCAGGGCTGAAGCTGAGGGAGCTCCGTGGACCTTCCCCTGCATGCCCTGCAGGGGGGGAACTCGGGAACCTGCTGGGGATGCTGAGTGGATGTGGATGTGGGCATGGGCAGAGGGGGGAGCGCAGGGCACCAAGGAGGTGCTCTGAGGGTGCTGAGGTGGGGAGTGTCACTGCAGTGGAAGGGGAGCCGGCATTCGTTGTGTGCCCGTGTGTGCTGGGGGCTGCCCTGGCTGGGACTGGGCTCTGCGGAGCTGCTCGGCCCCATTGCTGCTTCCCCATCCCTTGGGAGAGGCCAGGTTCTGCCTCCACCATGGGGAGCCACGGGTGCTGAGGCTCTGCCCCCAGTGCAGGAGCTGCTTTGGAGCTGGTGGGAAGCTCATTTTAGCAATGCTGGGCATGGGGGGTGGCTTGAGCTGAGCCGGACCCCCCTCAATCTGCCCTCAACATCTGCACCACTGTGCTTGCAGGACTGGGGCTCTGCGTCACGTTCCTGTGTGTGACCTGGTCTCTGCTGGACTATCACCAGTCCCTGCGCTCCTTCTTGCAGGATAAGTACGAGCTGAGCGTGAGCTCCTCCATCGTCTACTTCCTGTGGAACCTCTTCCTCATCTGCCCCCGCATCCTGACGGTCGCCCTCTTTTCCCTGCTCTGGCCCTACGCCGTGGCTGTGCACTTCCCACTCGTGTGGCTGGCCATGTTCCTCTGGGTGAGCCTGCAGGGCACGGACTTCATGGAGTCACCTGGCCCCGAGCAGCTCTACCGGGCCATGGTGGCCGTGATCCTCTACTTCAGCTGGTTCAACGTGTCCCCGGGGAGGACGCTGCACCGCAGCATCATCTACCACAGCTTCATCCTGGTGGACAGCACGCTCCTGGCCCTCTCCTGGCTCTGGTGCCGCTCCCCCTCTGAGGAGCACTCCTACCTCATCCCGGTGGTCTCGGCAGCCCTGCCCTGCTACCTGCTGGGGCTGGCGCTGAGGGTCACCTACTACAAGTGGCTGCACCCCAGCCTGCGGGCACAGGAGGACCGCGGCTTTGACGAGGTGGATGCCAACGGGACGAGCGGTGGGATGGAGCTCCCGTCGTCCTCGGAGCCAGACCTCGTGAACAGGCGGATGCGGTGGCTGGTCCAGACCCAGTTCTCCATCTCCTGGCCTGTGGGGCAGCACTTCCTGAATGGGGCTGCTGCTGCGGAGTCTGCTGCCTGAGGCCCGTTCCTCCAGAGTGACTTGCCCAGGATTTGTTCATCCTGCTCCTGGTTCTGTTCCCCCAGGGCTGTTTTGGGCAGCCGGGGGAGGTGCCCACATCTCCCCTGGCCATGCCCTTGGGTTCGGGCCATGTGGCTGTGCTGCCTTGTAGCTTTTCTTTCTATTTATTAGCTTTTTCAAAAAAAAAAAAACAACCCAAAACAAGGCAAGGGTGAGTTCTGTGCGTGCCGCTGCTGCGGGAGCCAAGCCCCCGCTTGAGCTTCCTGTCCCCAACCAGGACCTGCCTCCTGCTTTGCTGTCGAGGTCAAAGACTGCCCGTTATCATTATCACTGCGCTCAGGGAGGGACAGGGAAGGGATCAGGAGGCAGGGACAGCAGCCGCAGGGCGGCTCAGCACAGACACCTCGGGGTCCCTTTGCTGTGTTCCCGCTCCCTGGCCCGTGCCTCTGATGCTGGGGCCAGGCTGGAGGTGGCCATGGCCAGGTCTCAGCTGTAGGGGTGCAATGTGGTTGCTGCTTCCCCTCTGGGGCTGCCCCCGGCTCCGTGCCACCACCTGAGCAGGGCCCAGCACATCCTGGCTGCTCCCCATCACCCACCCTCCCGGCAGGACCCTGTCCCAGGAGGGAACCCCCCCACACACTGGGGCAGGGCTGGGGGAGGCAGCTCCCTTCACTGCTGCTCCTATGGCAAGATGAGCCCAAGGCCAAGGCCCGGGGCACGGCAGCAGCGGCTGGGAGGAGGGCTCATTGCTGGTGTTTGTTGCAGGACTATCCAAGCGCCGTGAGCCCCCCCCACAGCCACCACAGCAGAGCCGGTACCTCTGGGTGCCTCCACAGGAACCCCCCGTTAATGATGCCGGTGCCCCCAAGCCCAGCCCTGGGGGTGCAGGGAACAGAAGAGGCTGGAGCAGTGACTATAGAAAATAAAGACTTTATTTGTTTTCCAGTTCACAGGACAGTTCCCATTGCAGACCACGAACAGGCAACGGCTCCGCAGCCAGCAGTGCCCAGGGCTCGTCCCCGTCCCGCTGCAGCGGGGCTGGGAGCGCAGCAGGGGCTGCACTGGGGCCCTGCTGCTCCCAGCTCACCCCTGGAGGCAGAGAACAGAGCGGGGCAGGGGGGGTTAAGCCTCAGTGGTGAAGCTGGAGGGGAGGCAGCAGCACATGGGGGGGGGCACAGCCCTGCTGCTGCCCCTGCACTGGCTTTGGTACCAGGTCAGGGGGAACAGGAGAGCACAGAGACAAGAAAACCCAGAGGGACAGAGCTACTGCTCTGGACCCACAGGAGATGGGAACCCTTAAAAGAGCCAGGGCAGCCTGTATTAGACATGAACACAACGTACCAACAGCCTCCGGTTAGACAAGGACTTCACATACATTCAAAGACCAGTGTAGAGCATCCCTGGCTGCAGCCATTCCACACTCAGGGAAAAGGCTGCTGAAATCTTAGCATTCCTTAAAGCAGTTTGAAGTCAAGGCAGCTGAAGGTGAGCCTGGGGGGCGGGGGGCAGCACCCCCTCTGCAGCCTGCTGCAGGCCCTGGGGAGCCGGGTGGTGGGAGGTTAAGGCACAGGGTTTAATCCCAAAGTTCAACTGCAGGAGCCAGCGTGCTCCCAACAGGCTGGGACAGCTCCAGGAGGGCTCTGGAAGGGCTGGGGACCCGCAGGATCCAGCACAGCCTCTGACTGCAGGTGAGTCCTGACCCTCGGTACCGTTTCAGCCCCTGGGAGCAATGGGGCTGCTCCCTGGCACAGCACATTTCCCACAGGATGCACTCCAGCTGAGGGAGAAACCCCCAGGTCTCTTTGTGGACCCGGCCACAACGGAGCTGCAGCCCTGCAGCGTCTCTGCTTGCTCTGCACGGGGCCCAGGCTGCTGTGGAACCCCAGCACACACCATGGGGACACGCCTGAGCTCCCCATGTGCTGTATGTGGCAGATGGAAGAACATCTCCCATGGGCTCCTGGCTTCTCCTCAACCCAGCCTGCTCCATCCCCTCCTGAGCTGCTCAGTAACACCCACAGCACGAACTGGCTCCTCTAATGGGACCGGAGGGCAGGTTGCTCACAGGCAGCAGGTAATAGACAAGGGGCATGGTCCTAAAGCAGAGTTCCTGGGGAAATAACAGACCCAGAGCGTCCACCTGAGATCAGAGCACGAGGCCAACAGCTAGCAAGGAGCTGGATGGAAAGCAGAGCCCTCTTGTGACCACCAATAGAATCTCCTCTGATCAAAAACCAGGAAGCAAAAACTGGAGGCTGGGACATCTGAACCCCGGTGACACCTCTGTGTGCAGCCCCTGAGCGCCAGGGATCCAAACCCCCTGCTCCAGGCACATCTCCATGATGGTCCCCAGCACTGATGGAAATCGCTCCTCAGTCACTAATGCCATGGAAGGTCTGCAGCAAACGCAGCACCCATGGCTGTGGTACAGCATCCTCCCTGCAGCGCCGTGGGGTCAGCCCTGGCCCTGTGTGTCCCAGGAGGGTGATGCTGGGCTGGGGACCGGAGGTCTGGAGGGGTTTGGGCTCAGCAGAGGTGTGTGGTGGGACAGAGCAGACTTCTCTACGCAGGGACCCCCGGCACTGCCTGGGTTGGTGGCCTGGAGGTACAGGGAGGAGGCAGAAACCACTGAACCTAGCCTGACCTGCCACAGTTCCTGGTTCCTGGCACTGCAGGGCATGGACCAACAGGGCCTCTTTCCAACGAGCCATCATTCCCAAAGCCAACAGGCTCCAGGCTGCTGAGGCACAGTGTCTTCCAAAAGCAAGTCCCTCTTAACAAGGGGTTTGTTTCTATGTCATTAGGCAAAGAAGAATACAAGAAAATGGAATCAGATTCTACTAAAAGGAACCTCTTCTCACAATGAAGTCAGGAAAGTGGAGGTGAAGGTTAATAACCATTCCCTTCTTTGTAACACCCATCAGGATTCAGTCCTCTCAAACTATTCCTAGTCCAGATGAGGGCTGTTCCCACCGGAGCAGTCTGCAGTGCTGTTGTGCTGTACCTAACGTTCACAGGCAGTTGTATTCCTGGTTCAGGGAAAATCTGTGGGATCTATGGCCTGGGTCACGGATGGAATCCAGTGATCTGCTGCTGGTTAACAGGCTTGAGCACACATTGACTGGAAGCCACCAGGATCAACTCAACACCAAGACCTTCCTCTACAAGGACCCACGTAGCCCACGACCATTCCCCTTCTCTATTTTCCAGTAATCCCACACTGAGGAAATAACATGAGGACATTGTAATAAATTAACTGCTTTGAACACCCAGGGAAGGAGAGAGGACACATTTCACAGCAGTGGAGGTATTTTTGCCATTTTCATTAGTATTTCCTATGAAAGGCCCACAGCTCTCATTGGAACAAGGGAGCTTCAGCTCTGCCATCAGGATTTCTCTATAAAAATAAGGTTTTGTGGTTACTTGGGTTCTACAACTAAGCTGAACAGAAGGGAGAAAGCTCCTACAAGCACTTGTGTTGGCTCACCCTCTCCCTCTGGAGACTACCTGCTAGAGGAGCTCAGCTGGCTTCTGTGAGTCTCTTCTTCAGACGAGCTCCAGCTCTGCTGAGTCCAGAGCTTCCTCATAGGACACCTCTGTACTTGGCAAGGCCCCTGCTCCTGAGGTCGTGCCCTGGGGCCGCGTTGTGCTGCACAGTTCTCCTTGGGTATGTTTTCTTCATCAAGCTGAAAAGTGAGTCCCCAAATGTACGAGGTTTCTGCCTCCCCAGTGCTGGAGAGGGCTTGCAGGAGCTGCAGTCACACCTTTGCTCCGGCTTCCTACAGGAAGTCTAGCTCCAGGGCTTGGTGAAGGGACACGAGGTCTGCGTGGTTTGTGATCCTCCAGAAAGGCATGTTGTGCTGTAAGAGACGACAAAGGCAGCTTTACTGGGCTGATTTCACAGCGAGGTGGAAGCAGGCAAGGTTCAGCTGCAGGGTTGTGCAATGCGAGGTTGTGACACCACATTCAGGAAGGATCTCAGCTGCATGGTGTGTATCTGAAGCCTGATCTTGTTAGCACATCTATTTATGACAGGTACCAGCGCCAGCAGCTGCTTGGCATGCTCCTGATGGAAACCCCAGCTGCTGCTTTACCCTGGAAAGCCTTTCCTGGGAAGTGACAACTTTGGCACGTGGCAGGCATGTGGAGCCTGCAGAGGTGATGTCCTGACATCAACCTGTGTGCTTCACTGCCTTTAGTTGGCAGGACTGAACAACCAGTTTGCTCCTTGTTTGTCACTCAGACCAATGGGAGATGCTCTGTATCGATCTGTACGATGACAGACGCCCTCTGTGCTTCTGAGAAACTGCATTTATCCCAACTAATAGCTGCATGATCAAGACATGCCACATCAAGATACTGTCTTACAGGGACAATGTTATACACAATGCTAAACAACAGTAAAACGCAAACTTTAAACCCCCAAGCCACAGAATTCCCCCTCTTAACGCAGTAAGATCTCTCTTGCGTCAAAGGCAAAGTTTCCCCTTGGCCTGAAGAGTTCAGCCCTGGAAAGAGGGTCCCTGCAGAAAACAACTGCAAACTTCCCTTTGCATGGACCCACATCCCAGCTCTGCAGTCAGAACTCACCTGCTTAGCTGCCACCTCTTCATCTCGCCCATCTCCAATCACCACATAGGTGACTTTCTTTCCAAACCGTGACACGATCCTCTCAAAACAGCTCTCTTTACCTGCCAAAGGAATCCCACTACCATGAGCCTCAGGCAGAGAACAGGCAAAGCCTGAACAGGTCCCTTCTTCCCAGCACAGAAACACATTCTCATCTTACTGGGAAGCAGATAACACCCAATTCAGCTTGTGAGGCCAGAAGCCATCACTTTTACATGGCCAGAGGGACCACAGCAGCCAAGGGGGCTGCTCAGCTGCAGGAACTGTGTTTCCTATATAAAAATCCACAGCAGACATCCCAGTGCCAGGCACCAGCACAACCCCTTACCTATTTTTGTAGCACTATAAATATTTTCAATGGGAAACACCTCTCCCAATCCATAGAGGAGAACTTTGGCAAGAGCTGGCACCAGCTGGGTGGTTGTGATCAGGATGTTCTCACAGTTTTTCCT